CCCGGCAGGAGGCGGCGGGGGGCGCCCGGGGTCTCCCGGGGAGGGGACCCACCTGCGGGAGCTTTTTTTTTTGGATGGGGGGGTCTCTCCGCTTGGAGCATCAGGTGTCGCCGTCCCCAAAGAGCCAACCTCCTGGCTCCGCTGCGACAGCAAGGGGAGGCGGAGGGAAAATGCCCCATTTTGGGTTCTATTTTTTTTTTCTATTCTTTTTTTGGTGGGGGGGACACAGAGGGAGGGCTGCGGGACAGCTCAGGGTGCGGAGAGCCCCGTGCCCGCGGTTTGGCCTCCGCGGGGCTCCGCTCGCTCCGGGGCTCGCTGCCTTTAGCCAAGTATTTAATTAGCCTCCACAAACTTCTTTTCCTCGCCTGCAGATTATACTGAGTGGAGGGTTGGGAACTATTTTACACCTTGCCACTCACATGTTAATTAATCTCTATCTAACCCTAATTGCAGTTTATTCAAGCACCGCTCAACAGCTCACCCACACAATAAACACTGGGGCTGCTTTTATCCATATTACTCCCCGCTCACACGTTGAGTAATTAACTCCAGTACCAACTAATAGTGCAAACAAATATTTTCTGTAAACGAGATGATTTCGGGCGGGATAAAAGAGGGCTGCGGAGCCGGGACCGGGAGCTCCCTGGCAGCTTCCCCGCGTTGCACTCGCCCTTCCCAGCGTGTTTTCTGCCTCGCGTGTTTCCCGGGCCGCATCCTGCTCCCTCCGGGCCCAGGGGGAAGGAGCCGCGGCGGGGGCGGCTGCGGCAGCCCCGGGCCCGCGGGGAAACGAAGGCTCCGTATCCCGGGCCGTGTCCCGGGCCGCTCCATGCTCGACGTCGGGATCGCGGCTGAGAGGCGCTTCCCGGGACTCAGCATTTTCATTGAAATCGCAGGTTTAGGCACAGCTGGGGGCCGTCTCCATCGACTCCACTTGTGCCGACCCGGGAAGCGCGTTAAAAACGACGGAGTCGGATAGAGCTGCTCCAGCCGCTGACCGCAGCTTCTGCGGTGGCTCCCGCCTCTCCCGGTTTAACCC